CTGTCTCCTGGATGAATGAGATGACTAGTGCCAGTCATCTTTTCGTATCTTGGCAAGGAAATGGAAAGCCAGGAAAATATTTTGGGGCAATAGATTCATATCAAAATTATATTATCGTAGAATCAAATGGCCTTTTGTCTGTGCCGGTGTCCTGAGCACTGGTCCTGCCCCAGTGGGTGCCATCAGTGTGTTTCTTGGAGAAAGCCATCTCCCCTCCTCTCACACTGGGTCTTTCAGCTAGAGATGAGACTGGTCCTCACAGCTGGGATGCTGGCCTTTTCTTGGCAGCATCTCTTTTTGAAGCATCGTTTTCCAGATTGTGTGGGCCTAGGCTTTCCTGCAGTCATTATACATTGGCGGCCAGGTGGCGTTTCTGGAGGGAACCATCACCCTCAGTGAAATGGCTGAGAGAGCAACCTTTAGACTCAACATCATCCCTCCTGTGGCCCTCTGCTTGTGCCCTTGACCTCACTCAGCCAGCTTTATGGAACCACAGAGTTGTTGGGAATCTTGGCCCAACACTTTAGTAGGTGATGTGAAACCAAGATCTAGTGACCTGATCCAATCCTTGTCCAGACTGCGGGGGTCACACTGACCTTCGTTCAAATATTGCGAGCTCCGTGGCTTTGGACAAGTCTTTCAGCGGTTTTTCTTTCCTTATTTTGGACTCTTTATTGCGGTTTGGATGAAAGTTTACACAGCAAATTAGTTTTCCATTCAGCAGTTTGTACACAGTTTGTTCCGTGACATTGGTCGCCGGCCCCATAATGTCACAGCGCCCTGCCCACTTCCTCCCTGACTTACTGTTTCCAGGAAGCCCCCTCTCCTGTCCCTGCCTGCCTTCTCACCTGAGCTTTGGGCAGGTGCTTCCCTTCAGGTCTCCTCTGCCTGGTTGTTGTGAGGAGTGCCTATCTCCTGGGGCCGATTAATGGATTCTATCGGCCGGTCTGTTGTTTGGCTGACAGTTAATCCCCAGGCTTTTAACCATTTTGAGTCTCAGTTCCCATGTCTATGAAGATGCGGATAAGACCCATTCTTACATTATTGGCCTGCCCAAAGCCTTGGTAATTTCTATCGCCTCATCTGCCTGTGGAAGTTGAACATCACGTCAAGAAGAATGAAGACGAAGAGCCAATGCATGTGATTGTGGTCCTGGAAAAGAATGCCCACAGTACCCTGGACTGCCGAAAGACCAAACAAGTCTGTCTTGGAAGAAGAAGGCCGGACGACTCCTTCGAGGCAAGCGTGGTGGAACTTCCTCCTCTCACGCACTTTGAAGGTGTTGTCAGGAGAGACCAGTCCTGGAGACGGGCAGCATGCTTGGTAGAGTGGAGGGGCAGCGAAACAGAAGAAGGCCCTCAGGAGATGGCCTGACACCGTGGCTGCAGCAGTGGCCGGAGCACGGGAACCGCTGTGAAGATGGCACAGGGCTGGGCAGTGTTTTGTTCTGCATACCTAGGGTTGGTATGGGTCAGAACCAACTTGGAGGCACCTAATCCCTCCCCCCAGTTTTTATTAAGTGATGTGCACTTACAGCACTTTCACAGTCACTGCTGGTCCTGGGGACATTCTCCTCTGATCACACTGGCCATCTGTGTAGTCATGGGTGGAATGCAACTTACACGGCCTATGTGTGTGATCCCCTCTAGAAGCTTTTGCCTGATGCCAAGCAGTATCCCGATAATTGGTGGTCTAATAGTAGGTACTGATGATGCCTTTGGAGAGTACAGGTATGCTCCGACTTGGAACGCTGACAACGAACACCTATATTGACTTCCTTCTTCCGCATACGGAAAAGTTAGTTTTGTTTTCATCTTTTGTGTAATTGGCCTCTGCCAGCGAAAACAGTTCCATGGTAATTTGTCAAAGACACATTATTGCTAGCCTAAAAAAAAAATTTTTCCCCCCAGTGTTTTTGATGAAGCTTGTGAAAGGGGGCTGGGCTTGAGGCTCTCCGGGCCAGAAGCTACATACGCTGGAACTGTAGGAAGATGGCTGAGGAGGAAGCAGGGCGGAGTGGGTTCAAGTCCTGCCGCTGCTCTGATCCTGGAAGTCACCGTCCTCGTTGGTTAGATGGTACTATGCCTCATCCCAAAGCCGCTTCCTGTCTCCCAAACTCCTGAGAGAGCCAATTTTTCTGTCCTGGTGGCTGGTGCCTTCCTGTGAACTGCAGCCCTGTGTTTGCCCTCTGAAGCGTGTCCCACTAGGCCCCTCCACCGACTGCTCGTGGCCCTGCTCTGGGTCAGCCCCACGTTCCCTTTAGCTCAGGATGAGAGGAGTTACACTTGGGGGTTTCCAGGTGTCGC